ATATCCGGTGTATATTTATCCACATCTGAACTCTTCAAAGGTAGAAAAATGTAGAAAAATTCATAGACAATGATGCTCGTCCACAGACTGGATAACGCCATCACGTGATGTTCAGAAGAGTAGAACGGTCTTCTTGTAATTACCGTATGTCATGTACTACAAAATACTCGCCTACGCGACCACATAGACGCAAGAAAAAATACGCAAAATGTAATCAAACAATCACAATAATTTATTTTTTTTACGGTTACATGTTTGTCCTCAGGTGGTGGACCTCCTCAACGACCTCTACTCCTGCTTTGACGCTGTCATCGACGCATACGACGTCTACAAGGTACCCGTTTGGTACCTTCATTAGGATATATAAAACAATAACCAAACAGTAGTATGATACACGTAATATTTATGCTGTGTATCAAGTGCAACCATGGACATATAGTGGTGAGATTAGTTTTACGCCACACTCAGCAATATTCCAGCTATATGGCGGCTGTCTGTAAATAATCGAGTCTCGACCAACCAATCCGTGATCAACAGTACGAGCATCGATCTACGCAATTGGGATACGATGGCACGTGTCCACCTAAGTCAGCGAGATTTAACTGCTCGATCCGTTAATCGCTTCGTACGACAAGCATGGGTTACTGAAGTTCAATTCTAACCGGATCTTCACGGGTCCATTATAGAATATACTGCTATATATCATCTACACTGGAGAATAGCCAGTCTGGATTAATTCCTGAAGCAGATTATGTGTATGGATCACTGAAATCCAGTGTTGACATAGGGGTGGCTGCGAAATGGGTATGTTCTGCCTCACGACAACGAATACTTAATGTGAATCAATAACCCGTCGCTTTTTTAGCCTACAACGTTAGGATTTATGAGTGAGAGAGTTTAGTTTTACGCCGCTTTTAGCAATATTCCGGCGGGGAAAACCAGAAATGGGCTTTTACATATTGTACCCATATGGGGAATCGAACCCGGGTCTTCGGCGTGACGAGCGAACGCTTTAACCACTTGGCTACCCACCACCCTGAAGTTATGAGTAAAATATGTACAACCTGACGGACATATTAAGATTTCCCAGATTGTGAAAGGTAGAAATCTTTGCTAGAACGGAATGAAAACACCAGCTTGTCGGGTCACTGACAATGGCAGAGAAAAAGAAAGGGAAATATGTAGCCCAGTGGTCAACATAGGGATGAAGTTGCCTCGCTTAGCCGCGTACAAGAATCCGACAACGATAGTTCAATGGTTCCATCCCCAAGTTCGTCCCAATGTTGGCCATTGGTCTGAATCAAACGATATCATTTGAGAATAATATTGCGTACACCAATTTCTAATGGTATTGAGTAAAGCAAGCAGGAATAACTGATCGTGTGTGAAACGCTAATGAGATTGATAACGTAATGTCTTCATACCCTCTCCCAGGTGGAAACTATCGGCGACAGCGTGTATGGTTGTTTCTGGCCTACCACAGAGGAACGGAAACAAACACGCCGAACAGATCGCCCTGATGTCGCTGGCTCTTCTGAGGGGCGATAGACACGTTCAGGATGCGCCACCTACCGGGGAGAAACTCAATCTGAGGATTGGCTTGCATTCAGGTAGGAAGAAGCGGCTGTAAATTATGTCCGTTGATGTACTTTAGATGTATCATTCTATGTTTCAAAATCACATGAATTTATCTCCAGACTTACCAACTGGAAACGTAGTGTGACGTTTGTTCTGATGTATATAATGTCTATTTATATATGTTTTATATATTTTTCACTACCGAGGTCAACAAGGAATTACCCCACAACAAAGTTGTGTGTGAAACTAACAAAGTTGTGTGTGTGAAACTATGCGACAAAATACTAATAGACTGACCTCTGACATAGCGACAGTGTGTTTTAAGGGTAAGGGGAGTGGGTAATATACTATGCCAATAATGGTTTGTCACCCCCTCCCCCACCCCAACCCCACACACACCTTACACACCCTCCTCCCAATACAAAAAAGAAGGGGTGACAACCATTATTGGCATGAGTTTATATACTTTGTCACGTACGCAAAATATGTTTTATCAAATTTCAGTTTTGAGCCCAATTATTGCCCGTTAAACGAAACAAACAACCAAATCTGTCCGTGATGCTAAGTAATATTCTGCAGGCGATGTGGGATGTTTGATGTTTTCTCCAAAGACAATGATTGTTGTTTTACTCCTCCTAATATGCCATATTTTATATGTTTATTTTTTCTACACATGGTAGAATATTTCTCTCATGCGGATCCGTGTGATATTTATGTTTTACACAGGGTCTGTGTGTGCGGGAGTGGTTGGACAGAAGATGCCGAGATACCGCTTATTTGGAGACACCGTAAACACGGCGTCTAGGATGGAATCTCATGGAGAGGGTGAGGACATCCCCTTAGTCAAGGGCGTTACGAGACTATGAACGTTCTGCGCCCATCATTAAAAAGACTTTCTAATGTTGTGGTTTCGTCATGGCGTCACTAACTAACCAGACGGATTCCGCCTTTCTTTGTTTCAGACAGGTTGGCGTCGGCCGGTAAAACAGTGTCGTCGATAATGAAAAATCATTTTTGTAACCATACATATCTTACATTTGCGAAATGCATCAGGTGACAAGAGTACCTTGAAGACGTTGGTAAGGACACTTGTAGACAGACAGCGAAATGGACTCAAAAACACGGAGCGAAACTCTTCTCCCACAAACTTTCAAAATAATATAAACCTTGAAATTATATTTTTCACGAACATGTTCAGATATTCCATATGTTGTTTTCCGACACTCTACACAATCTCACCACTTTGGGGTTCTCATAGTATTCTTTAGAAACAATTTCGGAACTTTTGGAATTTCAAATTATCGTCTTGTACGATTTACATCTGAGGGTTCATGTCATTTGCTCGGGATTTTATGATGCACACGTAAAATCGTAAGACGCTGTGAGGGTATGTGTTTTCATCACTTGATGTGAAGCAGTTTCATTGCAGCTCTGAAGATCCATATCAGCGACCCCACAAAACTGATTCTGGACAACTTCCTCACATTTAACATTCAAAAGAGGGGCGACATAGAGGTGAAGGTCAGTATATCAAATTTACCATGAATATAGGAAAATACGGCTTTGGATTCGTCAGGGAGGTCACATGTATCAGAACGGCATTGATGGCGTTGTGAATCCTTAATGATCCGGGTTATAAATTGTCTTCAGTACCCCATGCTTGTCGTAAGAGACGACTAACGGGATCGGACGGTCAAGCTCGCTGACTTGGTTGACACATGTCATCGTTAAACAAACAAACAAACACTGGCCCGAAGCTCATTCTGCTGATCACTGGATTGTCTGGTCCAGATTCGATTATTTATAGCCCGCCGCCATATAGCTGGAATATTGCTGAGTGCGGCGTACATCTAAACTCATTCACTCACTCAAACACTGGCCTTGTGAGCAGAACGTCTGCAATTTGAAAAATTACCCATAGGACGGCATGTCAAAAGGTTTTGAAGCAGTAATAGTTCTTGAAATATCCATGTACTTCACAGGTAACATGATCAGTCTCACAATGTCGGTAGAACGACTTGCTACAACAAAAATATATCATATACCTGGACTTACCCAATAAGGGTTGAAAATGTTAAACACCTACGGCGTCCTCCTGTGGCTTGCACGGGTGTTCTGATAAATATTGCGAATTGAAACTCACACCAAAAGGAGAAATTTCCTGTTCATTTAGGAGCGTGTGGTAGCCTCGTGGTTAAAGCGCCCGCTCGTTCGGCTGAAGACCCGGGTTATACTCCCCACATGGGTACAATGTGTGAAGCCCATTTCTGGTGATATTGCTCGAATATTGCTAAAGGAGTCGTAACACCATACCCACTCACTCACTCTGTTCAATTAATATAACAGTAATGCATGCAAAGCTTGTTGATATGGACTCTTGTCCTCTTCTGCAACAGCGGTTTAAGGATTTTACTTTTATTACAGGGGAAAGGTGTGATGTCTACATATTGGTTGCTGGCGTCCTCCCCTAGTCTCCTGACACTGGCGGAAGATCTCCCCCAATCGTCTTTTGTGACTAGTGATTATTGTCAATGTCAAACTTTCCTGCCTAACTTATATAAACATTAAGTGTTCATTCTTACAAAGTATTGAATAAGCACGACATGGCCACTAGCTTTGGGAGGGAGTAATTAAAGGAAGCCACAGAACTTCACCCTGAGGAAATTGGAAACGTGTGAAATCCCTCAATCAGTTAAGATTTCAAGTAACGTGAGAAACGAAGCCTCGTTTGGATACAGAGCAGCAGTTGAAATCACCGCTCGATGACTACCCTCAAGTGCCTCACCGATGTGGTACCAACAGAGACAGATTGTAATAATGTCGTCATATACTTGCATGGTTCTTGAGACAGATTGTGATGATGTCATGTGAAGCCACTCCTACCTCAAATGTCAATTATATTCAAAGGTCGACTTAATCTTTGAAGAAAACTTCAAACGGAGAAACGTTGTAATTAAGTCGTTTCATGCATATATTTGCATAAATCTTTATCAGTCCTGCCTGAGATGTCAAGTTCATTCATTGGTCGATGTAAACTTTGATAAAAGAAATTCCGTGGTTGTGGTAAATATGGCAAATGATTTATGGCCACCATTGAAGTCGAACTCTTGTCCGTGGGGTGAGAATGTCAAGGTCATAATCAAACAGAAATCATGCTAAAGCTTGTGCCGCACTTTACAAAACAAATGTTACAGCACATGTGATTAAACGATTCTGATTGGATATTACATTGAAAAGGTCAAGGTCAAAATGACTTACTGGTCAACTTCAGCTTTTGTTGTGTAAACCATAATATCTTTGTCATCATCTGAGATAAAGGATACTCTCTACAGCCTATACGCCTAAAGCAAAGCTTAATAGGAAACTCTCCATGGAGAGGACAGCACAATACAATTTAAAACGAATGACATCGGAAACCAAGCTAACTTTAAGCTTTTATTAGGATGCCTGTTAGTAAAAGAGTTTTAGTGCCCGAAGTCCATCAAGCTGGAATAGAAAGGAAAATAGATAGATAAAAACAGACAAAAATAATTTGAAAGATTTCATAAATTAAGCCTAGGCAGTCCGCCTGTCTTAAATCATTCGTCCCAGATTCTCTGATTATAATACCACAATATATATACACATTGAAGTGAATCACGATATTCCAATGAATATGTCTCGAAGATGACGACGATACTCACGTGTGTTTTGCGGAACGACACACATGCTTCCTCCGCAGTTGGTTCCGCAGCACAGCGTTCCTGTTGGCATACACACAGCAAATGGGACGTCATCGGTTATACCACAACGGGGAAATAGTTCAGTAGTTACATCACTCTTATAAACAGAGATATAGAGATACTAGCCACAAAATGACATACATGCTATGGATCATGTTTTGATATATACTCATGTCAATAATGGTTGTCACCCCCTCCACCCCACCCCACACCCCTCTCCAACTAAAACAAATGAAGGGGGTGACAACCATTATTAGCATGAGTATATTATAACAAATCGACAACGAGGATCAAAATGAACTAATACGTAATTATCTGGTAACCTCTTTTGGGCCTAAGTTTTATGATGAACTGAAAGAGGCCTGCAATACTGGGCACGGTTTTGAAAATCCAGCGTATGACAGGATCATTGCACACGCTTATCCGTGTGCAACATCAGCTACTGAAAATTGCACCTAAATGCACTTTTGCCCCGTGGTAATCCAGACAGCATGACTCAAACTAGGTCAAAGAAACATGCCATTGCAAACCACTTTCTTTGAGTGATAATAGGGTATACTATCAGTATTGGACTTTCGATCAGCTACTCGGCGACATGCAGGTGGTCGACAGTGTTCCAACCTTTCAGCGTAAAGACGGGTTTCTCATGATTGACATCACGTCCATACACACATCCAAGCATACGACAACAGCAGACCTACCTTGAGGGCACCCCGCACATCAAGCATGCGGCAACAGCAGACTTACCTTCTGGGCAGCCTGGTAGGTCATCCCGTCCACACATGATAGGGCAGATGCCGGAATAAGGCGAACGAACGCGAGGACAACCTGTTGAAAGGGGTGAGAGCTGATAGATATACCCTGCAGATGAATTCCAAGTTATATAAAAATTATAATAAAAAGGTAAGCGAGGTAATGATATCCACATGTAGAATAGGCATTCACAGAGACAGGTGGAGACTTTAGACTCATTTCCTTCCGAGGATTGCACCAAAATGCACTTTTGTCGCTCTATCAAGCGAGGGACTATTTCAGGGCGATTCCTTGAGTCCTTTTCTTCTCTGTTTGTCAGTCAATCGTAAAGAGGAAGGTTGTCGTTGCCAACCAGGAACCCATTCAGAAGAGATCTCCAAAATCTCACCTCAACTCCTTCACATAGTACCTTGAAATTATTGCCAGGGTAGAATCCACCTCGGGAAGGCGATTCTTCCTTGTCGGCTCGCCGCGAATAGCTGCTCACTTGCTGATACGGCGTTAAACAACATTTACTCTCACCCAATCCTTGTTGAGTCTTTCAAGCTCCACAAAACCAACATCATTCATCATCATTCATCTGAAACGTAGCAAAGCACAAAGAGTTGATCGGCAATTGACCTGGTGCAGAATTGATTGACTATCTGCTGGGTGGTCAAATCTGTAATACTTATGGAGACAGGTTAGAACGTCCTACCATATTCATGCGGTGTTTTTGATTGGACGAAACAGGAATTTGACACACTGACACAAAAACATTCACGTTAGACAATATCAAAATCTGTTTGAGTTTGATCTTTCCTTTGACTGCCGAAACATTAACTGAGAACAATAATATATAATATAAGGACGGGGTTCGGCCTCTAACACCAGTTAAGAGGGTGAAGCATATTCTGTCTGTCTCTCGCCGTGACAATGCTGAGGGAGTGGTGAGCTGTAACATCTCAATTCAAGTCTCTAATTTTCACAAGCTTAAAATATATTACATACTGATTATTTACATTAGATTAATCTAAATATGTATTAATATTCATACTGAAAATATCCTACTTACCACCCGTTGTTGGCCATTGCGGAAAGTTCACGCTTGCTGTAATTAAAACGAAATTATTGAAGATCTATAAATGCCAGTGCACCTGAAATCATCAAATAATTACAGAGTGGTTTACAAATATACTTACGTTATTGTTTGTGAGCATATCTTAGACGTTTGCATATGGCAACACATACCCGATGTAAGGTTATACTCTATATTACATCGTGTAACAGAACCGTTTCTATCTGAGTGAGTGAGTACGATTTTACGCCGTTCCTAGCAATATTCCAGCTATATCCTGGTAGAGGCACCAGGAATGAGCTTCACACATTGTATCCATGATGAAAACCGTAGCCTTCGACGTGATAGACCAACGCTATAACCACTAGGCTACTCCCACAGCCCCTTAAATAGACGATGTTATCTGAGACGATATTATCTGTGAACTATGTTCATCTTTTACACCAAAACTATTTGAAAAAATGGCAATAAATTCCATATTGTTCAGTGAAGCCTATTCGGGTGTCCCCTGCTGTGATATTGCTGGAATATGGCTAAAAAGCGGCGTAAAACTAGACTCACTCACTCGGTCACTCACTCCATGTTGGTCCATGCTGATCCTTGTCCTTAACCTAAATCTACTGTCAAAACCTAAATAGGGTGCATATAAAATTAAATTCACTCACTCACTCCATGCTGATCCCTATACAGTCTCTATTACAGTTACATATAGACGTTGTCCTTAATCTCTATCTACTTTCAAAACCTAAATAGAGTGAATGTAAAACCGGGGATCGTTGCGGAACGAAATATCATCATAATTAGAGGTAAAGAAAAAGGTTGTATTCATAAATTTCATTCCACCTTGAAATCATGTGATTTTGATATATATATACTCATTTCCAAAAAGAAATTTGAATCACGTGAAATTGAGACAATGGTGAATAAGGAGACTCTGTGCTCATGATAACATGCTTAGTGAACACTGCCATTACATTACATTGTAAGAGTCCTTACATTGAACACACGAATGATGTTTATTCATACTATGTAAATAAGACGTCGTATTGCGCTGTTTAGTAACGTCATTGAAGACTCATGGAACATGGCATTCCAGTCTCCATTAGCAGTCCCTACCGCCTTGATTTATGTTTCATGTCAATATGAACATTCTCGTATCTTTTGAAATTCAGTGTACTATCACAGTAACCTTCTGATCAGCAACCAATGTTAGCCGTAAAAATCAAAACAGAGTAGCGGGTGGTCATTCTCGCTGATTTGGTTAATAGATGCCATTGTATCTCATTTGCATAGACCCGTGAAGGTCCGGGTTAGAATGAGCCTTCAGTAACCCATGCTTGTCGTAAGAGGCGACTAACGGGATCGGGTGGTCAGGCTCGCTGGCTTGGTTGACACATGTCATCGGTTCCCGATTGCGTAGATCGATGCTCATGTTGTCGATCACTGGATTGTCTGGTCCAGACACGATTATTTACAGACTGCCGCCTTATAGCTGGAATATTGCTGAGTGCGGCGTGAAACTTAACTCGAGCATGACCATCGATCCCGTTAGTCGCCTCTTACGACAAGCATGGGTTGCTGAAGATTCATTCTAACCCGGGCCTTCGCGGGTCTTCTCATAACCGAACACAAACAAGTTTGGAAGTTATGGAACACTTGTTTGCATTAACAATATTTTTCACAAGGTTGTTTTTTCTGTTGCATTTCATAAGCACTACAAAGCTCGTTCTAAGTCATGATTGAAAACATCTTATAGACTAAATTTATATTCATAACATACCTGTCTTCATTTAAGGATGTGAAAATTGCAGATGCTTTTGTGCAATTTGCAAAAGAAATGGAAAGAACTACCTGTATCTATCTTCTTTATTGTAGGTGCACTGACAAATATAACCAGGAAAAAATTTGATAAATGACGCTAACCATTTATCTTTGATGATTGATCGGTTGTATTGAACCGATCACCATTTATAAGATTTTAATCAAGTCCCAACACTAGTGTCTAACACTGCGGACATGTTGGAATATCACTATGACAGACGTGCATCCAGTTTTACTGCAGAAAATAAATGAAATATGTTACCGGACAGAGCCACAGAACAGAGGCACAGCACACACCAGTAGAATCTTCATGACTTTAATAACCACTGTCTTGAACAGTGGTAAACTGGCAGATGTCTTTGTGATAACACATGCTGATTAGACATGCCTCTCATATTTCGGGTTTTTTTTTCTAAATAACTTGATAAAGGGTTATTTAAAGGCAACTAAATAAAGCTCGGTTGGAAAAATGGTAACTAATGTTAGGGTACGATGACCCGCAAGGAAGAAGGTTTTCAGGCTACCCGTGGTAAACCTGTGGGAATTTGTCATATGCATAGAGCCATACTGACTGCTATTACAGAGGTCACTAGGAACCGTTAATAATTTATGGCTAGGGGGGCTGATGATGATTTTTTAAAGGGGATTGGGGTGGGGGTGTCATCCGTATTGTTCTGGGGGAGTCAGGGGGTCATCAATTTTGTACACATGTACCTGGGGGCAATTTTGTACATAGATATATTAAAAGATATACTAAAATTATCGGAAGGGAAGGTGGGGGAGGGGATGATTGTCTTTGTACATGACATGTAGGGCGGGTGGCTTACTTTGTGTCAAAAAAAGGTAAAGGGGATGGGGTCATTCCCATTGTACACGCTTCTCCATGAAATTAAATATAGTCAAATGAACCAAATCTAAGGTTCTTAAAACTTCTTTTTGCGATTCCCGGACGCCATAAATAAACAGATTCATTTAGAAAGAATATTAACCACTTTCTGTCACGATGGAAGAACTACGCACTGCATGTCCAAGGTTACAGCAAAAATATCTGACATTCCATCATATAGATAAACATGTAGATGTCCCACACCTGTCCCATTCTATTTAAGTCCTTATCATGGTGTACAACTCAGCCAACTGACGTGGAGGTTCATTTGAACGCCTTCAGTGACCAGTCCCAGTCGTTGTTTTACAACATGAAGGTTTTACTGTGTGCGCTGCTCTCTGTACTGTGGTATTTTTCAGGTACCACATTGGCTTGTTTTGTACATCAATATTGTCAATATCTGGTTTCACGGCACAGCTAGATGTTGATACAGAACCAAACGTTCAAAATTGTCTTCGCATCAAATCTCTGTTCTTTGGTATTATTTATTTAGCTGATGACCAAAGTCTGATATTGACAAGGCAAAATGAACATTAGTTCAAATTATATACGTGGATCGGGTTATTACAGGCCCCGTTCCACTAAGCGATATCAACTCTGCGACAGGGGGCGTTGGGTAGTCAAGTAGTTAAAGCGTGGGTACAATGTGTGAAGCCCATTTCTGCAATTGTCCCCATCGTGATATTTCTGGAATATTGCTGAAAGCGGCTTGCAAAACACAACTCACTCATTATAACTTGACTCTCTTAGTGAAGGAAGGCACGACGGTTTCTGCATGCTGTACCTTTCATGCCACTGGTTACAGTCCTAGCCTTGTTATAATGCCATGTGGCATTGTGACCTGGTTGAACCCACAGTCCGCCTGTCTGTCAATAGTGCCAGCAGCAAAGCAGCAACCAGAGCTGTTAACGTATCCTTGAAATATTGGGGTTTAGAACTGGCTGTAACTCAAGCTCATGACATAACTCCATACTGAAATTCTGTCTTTTTATACAAGTGTATCCATTCTTTTTCAGCCCTGATTCCGAGTCAGTCGAATGGTCGGTATCAATTAGCTAAACATACATATATATATAAGTATTAAGTCAGTAACATGACAGCACTCAGCAATGTGATATATATATGTTGTGTGGCTTTGAGTAAAATTATAATACAATGTGAAACAGTGTGTGAGATTGTTGCTGTTATTGATTCAGTAATGGACAGTGGGGTGGATTTGGTGTGAATGCCTGCAATGTCCAAGATGGAAATGTCAGGATGATTTGCAACCTTAGAGGATCCATGTCTGCATTACACTATCCACTTATTCCACATACAACAGCGCATGCAATGTTCCATTTTGTAGGTATTTGTGAGGGCGCATTTCTGGTCAACTGTTTCTGTTGACCCCTTGCATGTTCGCCAAACGTCCATCGAAGACAACAGCAACCTGCAGGTAAGGCTATCCGACGTTATCTGTCCAAAGATGCAGGTTGAGCTAGTTTGGCGTAAGTGTGCAGTGTGTACCTGTACAGTTAGGCAGGTTAAACGAGTTTGGTGTAAGTGTGCAGTGTGTACCTGTACAGGTAGGCAGGTTGAGCTAGTTTGGTGTAAGTGTACAGTGTGTACCTGTACAGCTGGAGGCAGAGTTGAGCTAGTTTGGTGTAAGTGTGCAGTGTGTACCTGTGTACAAGGGGCAGGTTGAGATAGTTTGGTGTAAAGTGTGCAGTGTGTACCCTGTACAAGGAGGCAGGTTGAGCAGTTTGCAGTGTAAGTGTGCAGTGTGTACCTGTACAAAGGGGCAGGTTGAGCGAGTTTGGTGTAAGAAGTGAACTGTGTGTACCTGTACAAAAGGAGGGCAGGTTGAGCTAGTTTGGTGTAAGTGTGCAGTGTGTACCTGTACAAGGAGGCAGGTTGAGCTAGTTTGGTGTAAGTGTACTGTGTGTACCTGTACAAAGGAGGCAGAGTTAAGCTAGTAGTTTGGTGTAAGTGTACTGTGTGTGTACCTGTACAAGGGGCAGGTTGAGCTAGTTTGTGTGTAAGTGTGCAGTGTTTACCTGTAAAAGGAGGCAGGTTGAGCTAGTTTGGTGTAAGTGTGCAGTGTGTACCTGTAAAGGAGGCAGGTTGAGCTAGTTTGGTGTAAAGGGTACAGTGTGTACATGTACAGGGGAGGCAGGTTAAGCTAGTTTGAATTGTAAAGTGTACTGTGTGTACCTGTACAAGGAGGCAGGTTGAGCTAGTTTGGTGTAAGTGTACTGTGTGTACCTGTACAAGGAGGCAGGTTGAGCTAGTTTGGTGTAAGTGTGCAGTGTGTACCTGTACAAGGAGGCAGGTTGAGCTAGTTTGGTGTAAGTGTGCAGTGTGTACCTGTACAAGGAGGCAGGTTGAGCTAGTTTGGTGTAAGTGTGCAGTGTGTACCTGTACAAGGAGGCAGGTTGAGCTAGTTTGGTGTAAGTGTACTGTGTGTACCTGTACAAGGAGGCAGGTTGAGCTAGTTTGGTGTAAGTGTGCAGTGTGTACTGCCTGTAGAGGAGGCAGGTTGAGCTAGTTTGGTGTAAGGGTACTGTGTGTACATGTACAGGGAGGCAGAGTTAAGCTAGTTTGGTGTAGTGGTGTACTGTGTATGCCTGTACAAGGAGAGCAGGTTAAAGCTAGTTTAGTGTAGGTGTACTGTGTGTGTGTACCTGTACAAGGAGAGGCAGGTTAAGCTAGTTTGGTGTAAGTGTACTGTGTGTACCTGTGTGTACAAGGAGGCAGAGTTGAGCTATGTTTGTTGTAAGTGTGCAGTGTGTACCTGCCTGTACAAGGGGGGCAGGTTGAGCTACTTTGGTGTAAGTGTACAGTGTGTACCTGTACAAGGAGGGAGGTTGAGCGAGGGTGGTGTAAATGTGCACTGTGTATCCGTGTATGTCCATACGCTAAAAAACTTGGGTTTAACCACTGTTCAGTATCTAATTTAATACGTAGTGTAACTGTATACACTTTTATCTCTTCCTGCTCAACTCCCAACGTGACATTTGAATACATATAATACGGCATAAAATCGTGTACATTCTCAATACTATTGACAATGAGGTTTAATTTAATGTTTAAATTTCTTCCTTTTTGAGATCTTGAAAGAGTTTAAGAAGTAAGGTACTGAAACACGATGTAATACATAACTGTAAACCTACTGTAAAATGGAATATATTTATGTCAAATAATTATTTACTGTTGAAATGTCATACATATGTACATAATCAATCTTCTTCCTGTTGTATTGGAGCGGGCAATAAGATAGGCCTTTGGCTTGTTGGCCAATCCTTTCATTACGCAGAATGAATAAAAATTCTTTACATCAAATATTCCTGTTTTCAAGTCTTACAACTCGATAGCTTCCCTTCTATACCTGCTTTTAGCTCCCTAATACAGCACTGACATTGACATAGGAATATTCAGTCACCATCTTACTGGCCTTTAATGAGTTCATCTTACCAACCAAATACCCGACGTGACTTTGGTTATATACACGGCGTAAAATCACAATCATTCTCGATAATATTGACAATGAGGTTTCATTTTAATGTTTGAATTCTCTTTTCTGTTTTAAGGTCTAACTACTGTGGCGGTTGTAATGCCGACTTCTACCTGGGAGGTAAAAGCGATTGCGGCAGTTCAATCTGAATGACATATGACAATTTGAAAAATAAAATGGTCTCTCAATGACCACATTCTTTTTTATCGCCTTTGTCCGTGGTGTGCCAGGTGTATGGTACATCTCCCCATGGAAGCAGACTGACACGGCGGAAGACACGAAGATCCGGGCTATAATTGGTCTTCAGTAACCCATGCTCGTCACGTAAGAGGCAGCTAACGGGATCGGGTGGTCAGGCTCGCTGAGCTTGGTCGACATATGTCATCGTATCTATTTTACGTAGAACTATGCTCATGGTGTTGATCACTTTGGTTTGTATGGAGACTCGATTATTCACATACTGCCGCCATAAGAGCTTCATTTCTATGTTCAAATGATAAATGTGTGTAGTTATCGTACGGATATATGCGGAAGAGAGAACCATTAATTAGTTCACAACACGTTAACACATACAACGGAGAATTGCAAATTATATGAAAATATGTACGCATTTATTATATGGACCCGTGGCCTACATACCGAATAAAATACTTGACATATAAGGAAATGGCGGTCCATAATAACTTATGTCCCCTAACTGAACTGTTCTAGGACCATAAACATTTTCGTTGCTGACACAAGAGCACTTAATTCATACCAGTGTAAATATCACACTCGGTAAGAACCACAAATTGATATGGAAATGTTGGAGTCGTAACACTGAAGGACTGTTTTCGGCTGCCAACATTTCATGCAAAGATCCTTGTCAGGTATATTATTCCGCCATGATTCCTGGCACCGCGTTCTGAGGCAGGTTTAAGCTTAAACAACGCGTATATATGTATGAAGGCCGGCTCTTACTGCATGACATACTTTCCAAGCCTCATCAAAGATCACACTAGTCATAATCCGCTTTGTTTATGCTCCAGGATTCACTATCTCTTTGTTGTTTATAGTGCGGGCTTCACTATCCCGTTGTTTATACTCGCAGGCTTCAATATACTTTGTTTATAGTGCAGACTTCACCACTACCTGTTGTTTATACTCGTATTTCACTATCCCTTTGTTTACTACTGCAGGCTTTATTATTCCTTTGTTTTATACTCCAGGATTCACTATTCCTTTGTTTATAGTACAGGTTTCTGCTTCATGGAGTTGTTTATAGTGCAGGCTTCGCTAACAGTTGTTTATAGTGCAGGCCTTCAAATATCCCTTTGTCTATATGCTGCAGGCTTGCAACTATCCCTGTTTTTGCTCTGGGCTTCACTATCCCTTTGTTTTATACTGCAGGCTTAGCTCTCCCCTGTTTTATATCAAGCAGGCTTCACTCATCCCTTTGGTTTATGCTGCGGGCTTAATCCTCTGTTTTTGCTACTGCAGGCTTCACTATCCCTTTGTTTATGCTGGAAGCTTAACTATATGATGTTTTATACTACAGGCTTAACTATACCATTCTCATCTCTGCAGGCTTTCACTCTGTAAACGCTTCTATCTACGGAAGGCTATGCCTTGCAGTCCTAATCCCCATTGTATTGTATTGTGGCCAACCTCCGCGCACTTGTCTGCTATGCCTCCTCTATATTCAAATTCTCTTCTTCACTTGTTTGATAACGGTGTTGTGAACTCTACACCGAAACGTTGCCTCCCACTGTCCTGTAAAATTGTTCATCCATATATTGTCATCCTTTCTAGGAGCTCCAACTTCTAACTACTGCCTCTCAAGTAACATGATCTTTCTTGAATACTCCCCACATTCATATTGCACATACTGCGCCATGCGAGTAAGCGAACCCTATATAGGTTGCTCTGTTTTGCTGGTAAAGATAAACTTGAAACTTTGGCACACATTTTCATAGAAATAAGGGCTATGACACGTTTTGTAGATAACGACGCCTATTTATTCTTTATCATGACGCTATACCAGTCTACGATGGATTAACCTTGTGCACTGACTCAGCATTTACCCAATGAAGGAACTAGATTTAGCCTCAAAACGTCGTGTAAAGAACAACCAGAAGTGGTTAATATATCCATTAAACATGTCTTCAAAGCCCAAATGTACTGTTGCGTCAGATCTACAAACACATTTATTGTCGGTACATGTTCGTTATCTCATGTAAGCTGTGTGCATGTCACGTCTAGCAACAATACAAATATGGCAACCAGGAAATGGCATTGTACAACACCTCCTGGGAGCAAGTAATGATATTTGGAGAGGAAAGTTACACCAACTCAACAACTTCAGCTTGTGTAAACTGGCCATTACAGCTGTATATAGTTCAGGTATTTCATTGAAGGCAGCCAAAGTTATACCGTATATACTAATTTATCATAGAACATGCAATGTTTTACAGAAGTATTTGTGGGATCAATAAAGTTATACCAGTATATAGCTCAAATTTATCATGGGGCAATGGCTTTACCGTATATTACTCAAGTATCTATTATTATAAGTTAGAGGAGAATTTATGATATTTATTATATAGAACAGAATTTATAGCGTATATACATAGAGTATTTATTAGCATAGAGACAGGAGAGGGTTATATACCGTATATACCCTCAATTATTTTATTATAGAACAAGACAGGGTTATGCCGTATATTACTCAAGTATTTATTATAGAACAGAGGTTATACCGTATATACCTCAAGTATTTATAGGATTATACAGTATATACCTTAAGTATTTATTATATGGACAGGATTATACCGTATATACCCTCAAGTATTTATTATAGAACAGGAGAGGGTTATACCGTATATACCTCAAGTATTTATTATTATAGAACAAGGACAGGATTATACCGTGCCTACCTCAGTATTTATTATAGAAACAGTAGACGGTTATACCGTATATACCTCAAGTATTTATTATAGAACAGGACAGGTTTTATACCGTATATATACCTCCGTATTTATTTATTATAAGGTATACCGTATATACATCAAGTATTTATAGAACGGATTATTCCGTATACCATAAAGTATTTATAGAACAGGACAGGATTATACCGTATACCGCAAGTATTTCATTATAGAACAGGACAGGATTATACCGTACCGTATATACCAGAAGTATTTAGCTTATAGAACAAGTCAGGTTTATACCGTACATACATCAAATAAATATTATACCACATTTACCCTCGAGAATTTAATGCATGAACAGAACGGCATTATACCGTATATACCTAACATGTGGTAATCAGTACACAGGATTTTCTCTTCCCTTCATAATCTCAGTTATTCTGACATAGGTCATACATGGATCTACTCCCTGATTTCCACCCGCAGTTAATCCGACCATAATTAACGAATATCGGATTATAATTAATCCCTCTAATTTGGGAGAGTTCTTGGCTGGCTGGATATTGCCAGTTTCGGAGCATGTGGTGGACCTCCATAATTTATGTTCCTTCTGGTTTCTTTGCCAAAGAAGTACGAGTCACAGGCCAGTTTTCAAAATGTGCAGCTTTTAGTGTAGGTGATTAGCAATGTTCACCAATAATTATTAAAGAACTGTCCTATCAAATGTCATCTATAACAGTACCATGTACATTTTTATATATACTGACATATGGGTAAAGTGTAGAACTGGACTTGCGTTTTTAATCTCCTACTAATCATTTTTCTATCCCCACACTAACTTTGTTGCATCATAATCATTTTTAATCAGTTTATTGACAAAGGTGCCATTAAGGTAATACGTAAGCAAACTGACATTGCCCCTTTGGAGGTTCGACTCTATTGCAGCTAATCGTAGTAGTGTAAAGCTTCTGATTATTGTTCAAATCGGCTTCAACAATTCAAATTCGGCTTAAAGGATCAAATCAATAAATAAATAACATCTGATTAGAAACTAGTTGGGTTGGCGACAAATCCCCGCGTAACCTTGTGCATGGTCATCTTTATCTCACTATTGACATTGATCATGTATGTTGTGTGATCGTTAAGCATTAAATCCACCCCCGTCATAAATATAACGGGTTTCAGGATATTAGCTTTGGTTGGCTTATCACTGACTGCTACCGCTTGGTAATGGGAGTGATTCTGTAGGCCTGGCATGGACTGCACGTAGGTAAGTCGAACACACACATTCACAATAGTTGTTATCCGTGAGAAGATCCGGTTTATAGTGTTGGCTAGGTGAAGCTTACTATCCTGCAAGAATATCGGAGCCGTCGGTTTCAGTCTTGGGTCCTTTGGTTTCAGTGCCGATTCCCCTGAAACATGTGTTCCTGAATTAAGAATAAGTGCCAATTCCAATGTGTAAAATAGAGAGGTTTCAGCGACCCATAGAGAGGGCGACTAACGGGATCGGGTCGTCATGCTCTCTGACTTGCTGGTTACGTGTCATCAATTAATCATGATGTTGATCACAGGATTGTCTGGACCTCAGACTCGATATATTGAAGTAATTATGGAATATTGATGAGTGCGGCAGTAACCAACAAAAGAAACACATTTTGCGAATTGCAATCCATACTAGTGAAGCTAGTGCGCCTTAGGCGAGTGAAAAGTTGTGTCCGATTAGCGTAGCCTCAATCATATGACCGAGGGTTCGATGGTCCCGATTCGCAGTTCCAGGTCGGTATCACCTCGAATTCAGAAAAGCCGAAGTCCTTTTATTACTTCCGGTATTCAAACGCACACCAAGCCGACACACAGCGATGTAACGGGGACACTGTTCAAGACAGGGTGGCACGATTTAATTCACACCTGGTCGTCTGGACATACAGCGATATAACGGGGACACTCGTTCAAGATAGGGTGCACTATTTACCTCACACCGGCCGTCTGGACAACTGAGGGGTAAACTTATCATTATCGTTACAGTTATTAGTGTTAAGCATATTGATAGATTATTATCATTATTACTTTTACTGTTATCATTATCATTTACAGATTAAAATGCATAACAACAGCGGACTTTCTTAACATATACAGTGTCCTAGTTCATCATTATGCGCTCTCTTAAAATACCCATATAAACGTGAACAAGAACAGTGTATTTATTTTATATTTTTTAAGAATATTAAAACTTCACTACCTCGTCCCTTGCGCTGCAAAG